AAAGGAAACAAGAACAGGCCAAGGAACCCGGGGGGGGGGGGGGGGGAGAGGGAGGAGGCCAGGACCAGGAGCCACTGGCCCCTATAACAGGGCAGCACAGCAGAGCCCCAGCCACTCAAGTAAGCACACCCCCATGGAGTGGGGGAGGCGAGAAGGCACCTGAAAGACCTGTCTAGAAGGCCAGGACCCACAGAGACACAGGGTTTGTTGAACCACAGAGCAAATTGGGACAGACGCTGGAACCCCTGTGTACAGCCCCACTGTGTGCAGCTCTGAGTTCCTGTCCTCTATTCGAGTCCTCGCTTGCCCCTCACCTCTCCATTTTGTTTATCTGCAGGGACACAAAGGTGTTGTAGGACCGCTCGGGCCTCCTGGGCCAAAAGGAGAGAAGGTAGGTGTTTGGTCTCAGGGAGGCAGATGGACCATGCTGTAAGTGGGGTCCGTGTGCCATAAGTAGCTTGGAAGGCTCAGGACGGCTGGTACCTGCTCACCCCACGGTTGCCTGGAGCCAGCCCTGAGGTCAGAACCCCCAAGGCCTAACGTGCGATGAGATGCACTCTCATCACTACATGTCATCTCTGCCTGGAACTGGGGCAAAACTGATCCACCCCTGCCCTTTGGGGCTCTGGGTCACTCAGAAGAAATGGAGATCCATCATGTATTGGCCAAAACTGCGTCATCCCTGCAAACACTGGCATTGCGCTTTGCATGTGCATGAGGTCACCCAGAGTGAGCCAGAAGGAGGAATGCCAGGGACAGGCGAGGGCTTGAGAAGGAGCCGGCACTGCAGGCATGGAGTATCTCCCCGGCCCAGCCTTCCTCACCCTCCCCGCGACTCACAGCTCAGACGCCCTCTAGTGGGCCTCCTCAGCCTGCCTTCCCGCTGCTGAGTCAGCTCGCCACTCACTGAACCCCTCTGTGGGTGAGTCACATTGGCTTGGTTTTCCTGTCCCATGGCCCCTCCTCCTGCCTGGAGGGGTGCAGACCCCTGTCTAGGCCCTGACACAATCCACAGGAGGCCACCGAAAATGCCACTTCTCCTCAGCCCTTGGAGCCTGCTGGGGCTAGCACAGGGGTAACAATCCCCAAAGCTCAGTGGAGCTAATGAGCCCCAGGACCAGAAGTGGTGCTAGTGGCGGTGAGAATGTCCCCATCTTCCCAGTGGGTGAGTGTTATGTCATTCATGCTGAGCCCGACCGTATGTGTGTCCACACGCTCTCAGCCATGAGGTCCTATTACATCCTCGTTCACTCCTTGGCTTCCTAGACTAGTATGTTCCAGGCCCGGGACCGCTGCCCAGCCCAGCTCCAAAATAGAAACCCAATCATGCATTGCTTAGTGACAGGGATTATAAGAACTGCCATGTTCAGAGATTTCATCTTTGTGGGAACAGCCTGCAGAGTGTGGACACAAATGAAGACAGACATCCGGTCACCGGATGCCATACCCCATGGGAACACCGCCATGGTGGTGGCTCATGACTGTCCCCTGATGACCAGCTCACCACAGGCTGGACAGTGTTTGGAGGGAGGGCAGGCTGCTGAGGGCTGGGGAGAGGGGAGTTCTCCCCCCAGCCCTCACCTCAACCCTAGCCCGAGGCTGCCATAGACATGAGAGGTGGGGACATGCCGGTGGTGGCAAGGTGCATGTTGGGGGTGATCTGGAGGGCTGGTTTTGAACTTTGGTTCCTAAGTGGCCTTATCTGAGATCCTGCCTTCCTGGGGCCTCAGTTTCCCCATCTGTGAAGTGGAGACAGCAGCTCAGCAGCAACCAGGCAGCTATACAGAGAGTCTCCAACACAAAATGGAACAAACTTGTCTAAGTGCCTAGCACACAAAATATAGGTAAATCCAGGCTCCTGGCCCAGTGCAGCCCCCGCCCCCAGGCACCTGCCATCCCCACAGTAAGACTGAGAGATGAATCATCAAGCCAGGGGCAGGAGAGAGAGTACCATTCCCTAGGCCATCCCTTGGGTTCACAACTGGTTCTGGGCTTGGACCGAGTCCTGCTGAGCCTCAGCCAAGATGGCCTGGTGCCACACCTCAGCCTCCCTGGCCAAGCAGTGCTCTAGGCCCACAGGTCACTGTCTCCTGTCCCCTAGGGCTGCCTCCCATCTCTGAGGGCCACAGGGGGGCTCAGGTGCCCTTGCTAGAATCCCTTGGCCAGAATAGCTCACAGGAGAGGTGATACCAGTTTCTTGGGATTTGAGTCTCTCCGGCCCTGAGAAGCTATCCTGTGTTGTTCTGCTTAAATCTTTCTCATGCAAGGGGGGAATAGGCATGGGTCCTGCAGCAGGACCAGGGCCTAAGCTGGCCTCTCCCTCCATCCCATCCTGGCCACGTGTGTGTGCCACATGGCCACTGCCATCACTATTATTATTACAGTTGCAATTTCAGTGGCTGTCCGCCGGGTCATTCTCGCAGGCAGCCGCTGGCCAGGGGTCCACGGTGCCTTCCAGAGCATTCTTGGCTGAAGAGTACAGCATCGCCAGGCGTCCTGCCCTGCTAGGCACCAAGGAAATTGTCATATAGATGAGACCCCCAGCTGCTGAGAATCACTTGGTGACCCCAGGCCTTCTCTGGGGCTCCTGAGGAAGACCAGGGTCCTCAGACATTTTTTTTTCTCCCAGCCAGGACCACAGAGCAGCTCCCACGGCCTCCCCAGGCCTCATGCCCAGCGCAGTGAAGGAGCTGTGTGGAGCTCGCTGCTCTGCCCTGCCCCATCATGGTCCCCAGTGCTGGGCACTGTGCACACTCATCACTCAGCTATCATTCCTCCTCTCCTCTCCCTCACTGGGAGAAGGGGTGCAGAGTCTGGTGGGAACATTGTGGGTTCCCCAGCAGGTTCCATGTAGAGCAAGGTGGACCCTCTGATGCCCAGATCTTATTTGGGGGGGCTGGGCTGGCATGCCCAGTAGTATAAGGTGTAGAATGCCTGTCTCCCCTGTCCAGGTGCCACCTTCTCCTGGGTCTTTTCTCTTTTTCCCTCTTTCTCTCTCTTTCTGGCCTCCATCTCCTGTCTCCTGGTAAAAGCCCAACTCCCCAGGGTAGGCCTTTTGTCTAAAGTTGGTTCTGTGTCCGCAGGGGGAACAGGGTGAGGACGGCAAGGCCGAGGGGCCCCCGGGGCCCCCTGGAGATCGGGTAAGGCCCCTTCCATCTTCTGGGTTGTGTGGGGTCCTGGGTGGAGCCTGGACCTCCAGCTGCGTGGACCTGGGAAGCAGGCAAGGGGAGGCGGTAGAGCCCCACTGACTGTGTTGTCCTTGTTCAGGGACCTGTGGGTGATCGTGGAGAGCGTGGGGAGCCCGGGGACCCTGGATACCCTGTAAGTATCGAAGCTCCGTGGGTTGGCAGGATCAAGAGTGACATAAGAAAGGGAGGCCAGCTTGTATTAGGTCACATGCCCGTCCCCTCCCTGCACCCCCAGTGCCTGGCCACAATCATATCCCTACAGAGGGCAGACTTCCATCCCTATAGCAAGAGGAGGCTGAAACCTTCCTGAGGAACAGACAGGGAGGCTGAGATGTCCAGCTTCGGGTAGTGTCTGCTGGCGATTTCCTCCTCAGGTGGCCCTTCCTTATGAAAGCCTCAGTTTCCCCATTTGTGGCTGAGAACAGCCCTCCCAGTAGAAGCAGTGACAAGCCATTGGACCCACTGGGCTTCCCTGCCCCCCCTGCCCGCCCCCCCACCTCCAGGGCCCTTGCCATAGCCCCCAGGCCCCTCCAAGATGGGTGGTCTTACCTCTTTCTCCTTGGCTTCCAGGGACAAGAGGGTGTTCAAGGCCTCCGAGGAAAGCCAGGCCAGCAGGGCCAACCCGTGAGTGTGACTTCCTGTCCAGCGTCCTCTTATGCCCCCAGAGGGGGAGGGGGATAGAGCAGTGGGAAAAGAACTGGACCCTTTAAGGCTTAAAGGGACCTGCTCTGCAGGCCCTGGGGAGGCAGCCCCCTCTTGTTTCTCCTGTCCTCACCCCTGGGGCTCCTCCCCAGAGTCTGCACCCCCAAACCCCTCCCCACCCCTCCCCCTCCAGGCGGAGACTGACCACCCTTCCCTGGGAGAGAATCCTGGGGCTGCCTTGCGTCATCTCACCTTGGTTTGCAGGGGCATCCGGGACCCCGGGGGAGGCCGGGACCCAAAGGATCAAAAGGCGAAGAGGTGAGAGGTTTGGGTGTTCACCAGGAGGCTGAGGTGGGGGGAAAGTCTGGCTCCAGGTCACATGGCAGACCCAAGGCAGAGCTGGCAGCAGCCAAGCTCCACCGCACATCTCATAACCCATCATTCTGGGGCTCCGGGAACGGAACTGCTCATCTGATGCCACCCAAGGGGCCTTGAACTCGGGGCAGCCATGAGCCAAAGATAACCTGCCTACTATACCAACATTGTAACAGAAAAACAGAGAAGGGGAGGGAGGGTCTGCAGAAAGACCAGCGGGCAGGCCCTGGACTCTAGCTCTGAGCAGTGCCCATGACTGGGTGGTGGCCAAGGCAGGAACACAGGACCCCGAGCACTGCGGGGGTCACAGGCAGCCCTGGGCTTTGAGGCCAGTGTGCTCAGCACTCTTGCAGGTCAGACACTCACTTAGGGCACAAGGTCCTCCTACAACCTCCCTCCAGGGCTCCTCCAACCCTGCTCCTCCTCTAGGCAGCCTCCCCCATGTGGCCTTGCTTTTGTTTGCCCAGGGTCCAACTGGAAAGCCAGGCAAGGCTGGGGCTCCAGGCCGGAGGGGGATGCAGGTGAGTGATGGCTACCTCCTTCCCACCTACCTCCTGCCCTTTCCCAGAATCCCTCACGGGCTTCTTATGTACCCTAGGGGCCACCGGGACTGCCTGGACCCCGGGGTGTGGTAGGGAGACAGGGCCCTGAGGGCATCGCTGGACCAGATGGACTTCCTGGCAGGGATGGCCATGCAGGACAGCAGGTGAGCCGGACTGGCTGAGGTCAGGGATACTTCCACGAGCCAGAGGGGCTCTAGTTGGGAAAATGAGATGGGGCAGAATGAGCATGGACAGACAGACTGTTCCTGGGATGCGGGGAGGTAAGCGGTTACCTCATCCTTTGGGACCTGGGAGTACAGGCTTCTCCTGGCCTGCCCTTGATGCCAGAGCTCGGGCTACTGAGCTCATCCCCTGACTGGTAGGCGAATGGAGCCCTTGTGTTTAAGGTCCTCCCTGTCCTCACTCACAGACCCTCAGCTCACCTCACCTGCCCCTCACCCACCTCAGCCAGCTTCCTTCCCTCCTGGCCCCAAGCCCCAAGCCAGCTGCTTTCATGGCTGCCTGTTTCCTGAAGCACAAAAGACATCCCTTCCCCTCCCTCCCACACACTCACACCTTTTGCCTACTTCCTTCACAGGGAGAGCAAGGAGATGATGGGGACCCTGGCCCCCTGGGTCCTGCTGGGAGGAGAGGAAACCCAGGAGTCGCTGGCTTGCCTGGCGCACAGGGGCCCCCAGGATTCAAGGTCAGTCCCTGCTTCATCACTTACCACCCTTTCTGCCTTGGGAAGGATGATAAGGGTGCTGATTCTTGGAGCACCTATCTCCCAGGGCCTGTGTGAAAATGGACCCAACGCCATGGACTTTTCTCAGGGGCTGTGCCCCAATCTTGCCCCAGACTTGAAGAATGGTTATCCTAGAAGCCAGCCATTGTTCCTAAGTTGTCCACAGGCGCCCTCTCTTGGGCATTTATGGAACAGCAGGTGGCTTGCTTGCCCCTAGCCTGTTAGAAAGCTTCCTTGAACTCCTGGTGCAAGAGGCTGCTTTGAACCAGGATTGAACCCTGAAGAGAAGATGTAGGTGAAGGACTTAGATGTAGTTCTTGCTCTGTCCTTGAACTGGAGATCCAGTTGGGGAAAGATTGAAACCATTTGTAAGTACAGCAGGAGAAGGGGCAGATAGCATTTGGCCTTGCAAAGATTTGACAGCTGGGAGGAGCAATGTGAGGAGCAGTTACACCTACATGATGTATTGGGAGGCCAAGCGGGAGAGAAGAGGGGATGCCAGAGTCAGAAATGGAGCCTCTTGGGCTGGGAAGGTGGCTCAGTGGTAGAGCGCTTGCCTTGCATGCCTGAGGCCCTGGGTTCGATTCCTCAGCACCACATAAGCA